AAAGGAAGATCTTGAATTGCTCCTTGTACGTGTCCATTTAATACCGACTGTTGCTCAGCATTCTGCCTAGATCAAGCCACAATACAGATGATCCTTAACTGAGTGAAACAACATCTGTTCCAGAAAAAAAAGAAAAGCGCTAAAGAATTTTTACTTTGGAAGAAATACATCAGTGACTGTAAACTACATACAGTCACCTTTAAATCCTGTATAAGACCAAATGTTTTTTAAAAACACTGAATATTTGCTTAGTGTTCAAAACCAATACATCTCATATCTCAGTATGAACATACGGCATTCTGTCACATCATCAATATTCATATGCTACAGCTGTTTTCTAGGGTTTGGCTTCCTATGTTTGATGGCTGACCAATCAAAAGATGGTGTAGCCTGGTATAGAAACAGTCCCCCATTCATGGAATAGTGAAGTAATTTCCTTACTCTCTCTTTCTTAGCACAGCAAGCATTCAGCCTCAAGCAAAACAGACAGGCCTAAGATATTTCATACTGAGGTGAGGTGAATCTTTGCTACAAAACTAAAGCAATGTTCTACAACACCTAAAAGGCTGGAACATCCAGGAAGTAGAAATGCCAGTGGTAAGTCCCAAACCACACTTTAATACAGAACATGTATGTCAGGTCACTATCAGACTTGGTAAAGATTGGATTCTTCAAGGGTCTTTAACCTGTACTTGACTGCTTGAAACAATTTTTGGGCTCCCTTCTTATCACCCTTTCTATCAACAATGGAAATGATTTTTATTCTCAGATGAAGACACATGCATTTGATGAAATATATTATCATTCTAGTGCCTTTCAGGTGTTTTGAACTTCAACTCCATCAGCCACAGTCAATGAAAGTGATTGTGGGAGCTGTTATCCAGAACACCTGGAAAGCACCTGATTTCTGCTGTAATCCATTAAAGATTGTAAAAACATCAATTGCTACTGTACATTCTGCCTATTATACAACGTAGAACTGTGTAGAAGATTAAAAAATATCATTTTCCTATGATGCTAATAATTCTCTAAATATGACCTTTCGGCTGTTGGATATTGGTATCCAACTGGATATTGCTTGTGAAACTGAAATTATGTTTCAGATGCTACCCGTGGAAGCTTCATCAGATAGATATTTCAATAGAGAGTTATCTCTTTTATCTTTCTACTTAACTCCTGATTATTCTTTCTCTTTTTGGTTAACTCCCAAACTAACAATCCTTAAGCCATTTGTAGCTCCTCCATTTGTATTTCAACGAACCTCTCAAGACAGGTTTCTAGTCATTATTTTTGTTTTAGTATGAACACTCAAGTTTTGGCATTTTATTAATAGTCAAGACAGAAGGTAGGATTATTCTGAGCAGAATATAAAACCAAAAAAGATATCATCTCCTCAAGGACTCTTGCAGATGCCCCCTTATACTCTATATGATTGAACTTTCATCCTAGAAAAAGCTTGTAAACAAATAAGTATTTCTAAATGTACATTTTAAATTAATTCAAATAAAATAATACTTAAAGAACTGTGTTTTCTAATTTCTGGAGCACTTATGATTAAAACAATCCCTCCAACCACCACGGTTGTTTGACTGAGTGCACATTCAGACATGATGGGTTACTTGGTACACTTGTTACAAATATTCATAAGAAAGGAATAATGAAAGACACGATTCATTATTTATTTAAATACCCCATCAGTAAAAATGAGCACAACAAATTTCTCCCCATCAACCTGCTTAAAACTGCATGAACCCAGTTCACAAAACTTGATTCTTTAATGTGCTGGCAAGTTATAATAACAGAAGAGGCTGCCACTTTGGTTCTGGTAAATATATGAACACTTTATAAAGTATTTGAACAAATCTTTAGTATCTTGTACTATTACTCATTTCAAGTTTGTCTAAGAAATCCATAGACAAGAACCTATAGAAAGAATGTTGGATTACCATAGTTGCCAAATATTAGTTTCAGATCCTGCATTTCTCTTACATTTCTTATCTCCCAATGTATAGTTGAAATATCATGTAGATAAATTGCAGCACTGCACATAAAAACAAATCTGTAGCACAAAAGTGACTGAATTCATAGTTGTGTGAGAAATAATTTTAACTTGGTTAGCATATCTTTTTACCATCTAAATGATCTATATATACCTTCTGTATTATGAACTGTTCTACCATAACTTATTTTTTTCTATCCAAACTCATTTTCTTGTACTGTAGGATCAAAGAACACCAGGACTTTTGCTATAAAACAGCTGGTACTGAACACTTGATTTGGGTTTCACAAAAGAATAAACAGTTGAATTTAACACAGGGAACTAACCGCAGACTAAACTACAAAAGAACAACACCTCTGTGGTCAATTTGGAAAGATGAAGTCCTGAACTATTTCAGTTGCATTTGCTCCTAACAGGCTTTAGTTTAATGCTGCACTTCTTTTACACAGATTTTAACTTTAACAACTGCTTTTAGTACTACTTGTAACAACAGAAACATTACATGGTAAAAATCTATTAAGGTCCTTACTATGCTGGACTTGATAAATAAAAAGTCCATCAAGTCCAGGATTCTTTTCCTACAGTGATCAACAAATGACCTGAGAAATGCAGAACAGGATACAACTGGCAGAGCAGTCTGCTGTTTTCAATAATTAGTCTCAGAAATATGATTTCGACATAAAGCAAGGAAACTGGAATCTTATTTTCTGCTTTAAATTAACCATTGTTATAATTATAATACAAAAATATGGTTAAATATAACTATGGTATAGAGAAACAATCAAGAAATATGCCACAGACTACCACTTGACAGAGCAGCCACGAAGGCTTTGAAAAAGATATTCAGATGCCACAATGTGTCTTTATCTACAAAGATCAGAATAGTGCAAGCAATGGGTATTCCCTGTGGCACTCTATGGAAGTGTAAGTTGAACTTTGAAGAAGCAAGATAGCAAGAGCAGTACAATAACACTTTTGAACTTCGGTGTTGGAGAAGACTCCTGAGGATACTGCGGATAGCCAAGAAAACAAACAAACTGATCATTAAACAAATCAACCCAGAGTTCTCACTCAAAGCACAAATGACCAGGCTCAAATTATCCTACTTTGGACAGAGTATGTGGTCACTAAGAGTCGACACCAACTTGATGGCACATAATCAGAGAAACAGGCTAGTACCATTAACCATAGCTTGATTGTTTTCCTAAATCAGGGGCCAAAAGATCCAAGCTAAGGTTTGCACTTGGCTTTAAATGATAAAAATATGGGTGGAACCAGAATAAAACTAAATTTGTTTCATTTGCAATGGAAATTTAATATAAGTTAAGCTGATTAAACATAATTAATATGGTAATACATATACATTTTAAAAGCAACATCACTCTGCCTTTAAGACAAACCAAAATTCTCAATATTGATTCAGTGTTACCTAAAACTGAAAGGAAAAGATTTTGATCTTCGAAATTCTATCAATAAACATTCTCTTTCCAAACTATTTTCAGTTTCATTGAATGATCCTACTATCTAATACCACCATGGAGAAATGTTGTTTTATGTTTTCATCATCTGTTCTAGGCTACAGAACAATGATTTAGCAACTTAGAAAATGATAGTCTAAACCAGACCATTGCAAACATGAAACTGCTTTAAACTAGAAAACAGAATGAAAATAAGTTTAGGTTGGGATTAATATTACAGCCTGCTGGGCTTCATAACTATCTTGCAATTTTAAAATGTTCATAATTGTACCTACTCTTAACAACGATTGATTTTTGAAGTGGAAATTAAGATATAAGAAATTGGCTCTGAAATTTATTACGTGGCAAAAAGTTTACTTACGTTTTAACAGCACAGAACAGTTACTGAATTAAAAGTAAGATGGTTCTAACAAGGTTTCTCACTAATAAAACACTTCACAGTTTGGGGCAAAAAATAATAATTTAGGAATTTAAGAAGCTGGCTTCTAGGTTGTTCATACGGATGCCGTGCATATGTTTTTAGATCAAGCTTAATAGCAAACAGGAGGTGTTAAAGCTTAAACCTAACAATTTCACTGATATCAATGGAGCTCTCAGTGCTTCACTTTGGCTGGACCGAGTCTAGCCATACTTATTCGAACATTATATTTATCCTTCTCCACATTCATTTGATAATGAATTCATTCAAGTAGGGTTGTGATGTCCAAAAAACCCCTGTAAAGTCTGTAAATGTAGCTTAAAAATCCCCATGGCCTCAAATCAACTAAATACTGATAACGAAGACTCATTTAAACCTTAAAGACTTTGAGTTTAAGAGTCAGGCAATCATGGGAGACTTTGCTTAGGTGATGTCATTACAAGACTTGAATTAGAATAATAATTTCTCCTCATGAATTCAGAATATCAAGTTAACTAAAAGGCTTTGGGTGGCAAAGGGAGGAGAAGATAGAAAAAGATATTTGATATAAGTATGTGAAGTATATAAATGTAAGGAGTGCCAACATCTCTCCTGACTGATGAGTACAGCTCTTCTCACACAGTTTTTCTTCTTGAAATGCTTAACAAATTTCTTCTAGCCTCTAAAATTGCACGCTTTCTTCTTATTTCAACCAAAAGTAGCACTTTATTAACATGTAAACGCTGGAAAATAGTTATTAGATTTATTTACAACCACATTATTATAAGAAAGTGATTCTAGACCATGATTTTTCCATTTATGGGCAATTACTAAAAACAGTGAGTTATATCAAAGAAAAACACAATATGGGGATTTCAGTTTTAGGCTTTAATGTTATACATGTTTACTTGGGAGTAAATTCCACTCAGTGCAGTTTATTTCTAAATATATACAAACAGGATTGCACTGTTAGTCATAGGCTAGATTAGCTTCCAACAGTCTTGTATCCAGGGAGCAACAAGGGAGGTGGCAAAAGATCACATATGTGTGATGATGTAACCACTCAAATGTCATAACTTATTTATTTGCATCAGCCCTGATGCAAGTACATAATCAGGATATTTACCTGATCATATCATCATACCCTTAGCTGTTTTGATGTTGTGTTTTGCTGGGGTGCCACTGCTGATTTCTTTAAGGTGTACTGCTTCAATTTCAAATCATCCCTCTGTGAAGAAAGAGGAACAGATCCATGGACATTAAAGACATTTAAATTCATAACTGATTTGAATAAGTCTCTTTTAAATATGTCGTCATCATCCATCATCATCATCATCATCTTATTGAACTTGTATGCTGCCCAACTCTCAACAACCCTGGGTCAACCTCTCGGGTTTTGGTTTAAGCCAAAGCTAAATACTACATTTTTACTATAAACTAAGGAGTGAATTCCAAATCTGAAATTTTACTGATTCTTCCCAATGTCCTCCTAATTAGCAGCACCCTGCTTTTCATAATTTCCATTTTTAAATGCTCAGTATATATTATGAGTAAGACACAAATCTGTGGAAGCATGTAGAAATGTATTTTTGATGAAACCTAAATACATAAGCATATATTACAAATATGAGGGGACAATCATTTTAAATATTCTTTGAAAAAGTAAATGTTTGGAGATACAAGATCACTGTGAACTTGAAATAAAAATAATTCACACTGATTTGTTTACTTTTTAAAGCATGTTTTCAAACTTTTTATTTTTTAATAGCCTATAATCCTACTAGAAAAAATTAATCTGGATCTTCTTACTGATTTTCAGCTTCTTCTCTTAGTCTACCTCTTCTTCATGGTTCAAAGATTCGATTAGGGAATGACAAAATTCTCAAGTTCTCTTTTTAAAAATGAAAAACTATAGATAGAAATAGCTGTTGCTGAAATATTAAGTTGAATTTAATGCCACCTATGTTTTCCTGCTGTTAGAAGGATCTCAGCTAATTAATATAAAATCAGTGTGGGAAAGAGGTTGGAAGAATAAATCAAATGCAAGGAGGAGCAATTAGGATGATCACCTAAATAAAGCAAAATAAATAGAATCATCCCAATTTCTGCCCTTTCTCCTAAGCAGGTCAGCTAAGGAGTTCCACATTCATGACCCTTGCCAGCAAACAGATGGCAACTCCTTGAATTGGGGCAGGGGGGGAGGGGAGCAGGCTAGGCATCCACTATCCAGAAAGCAACAATTTCATTTGCATGGATGAGATGTTCATACTGAATGATTTTCCATTTTATCTCTTATCAATAAATAAATGAATTACCTTGTACTAGATTTAAGGCAAGAAAAAATAGTCAACAGTTGCATGAAATACAAATGTATAATTAATTATTTCCACGGTTATCTCTTTTAACTCATTACTTTTGTTCCAAGATCAATCCCAACTTTTCAATCTACACTAGGATTTTCAAAATTTAAGTCAGGAGAGGGCAACTTGCAAGTTACATGCAACCCCTGAACGGCTCTCGATGCCTAACATTGCTGGCATGATATAAGGTGCATTAGGCCTCTGAATATATATAGTTTAGTACACCTAAAATAAATAGATAGATAGATAGATAGATAGATAGATAGATAGATAGATAGATAGATAGATAGTCACTAGGGATTCTGATAAATTTAAAAGCAGAAAGTGACACTTTTGGTCTTCTCAGAGAAGTGCATGTAAGTGGTATTAAGTCCCAGTTTAATGTAACTTCCAAACTAGTATCAGATCTAGGAGGGGCTTAAAACTGAGCAGTCAGTGATTTAAAGCAGTCTCATTGTGCTGGATGTATAGTTCAATTAAGTTTGACTGTAATCCACCATAAAAAGTGCAAATAGATGGTGAAGGTGATTATTACTGAGATGTTCTCACATATAAAAATTGGTGTATTTGATATATATAGGAATATCCAAATGAAGAGTGATCAAAATCACTAATGGACTTTAAAAGTGAAATCTAGATCAATAGAAAATATGCCAGGATACAAATTAAAACTAGATCTTTTTCTGTATTATTCTCCCTTTGCAGCAACATTTGTTCTGTTCATTGATATTTGCATTTGACCAATAAAAACAAAATTAAGCCCATTTTCATATTATGTTAGAGTGAAACTTAAAAAAAATCATTATGACAAATGTACCAAATTCATATCATAACCTAAGGAGCTTGATTTTTTTTCAGTATTATTTGTGCAGTTCCCAGTTTTAATTCCTATCTCTTTGACATGCTCTATCATCCCAGTTCTGGTAGGCTGATCAACTATAGGCTCCTCTGCTGGAGATAAGAAGCTAATGATAACTCATCATCATGACAACAGCCTTGAAACAATTTACTGTTGCAATGAAAAAGCAAGCACAGGTTGTTGCACAGATACTTTCCCAGGAAGCAGCATTTTCAAAATGCTTATCTTCTCACCTCATTTGCTGGATGAATGAATGTTGCCAATAATGCAAGCTTAAATGTCACCATGACACATCATCCATGCAAAAACAGTGAATATATCAATGAGAGAATCAATAGGTCAAATGTACCTAAGTGTAATGACATGTCGCTGATACTTCCCACATTTTAACTCTTGTTTTTCCCCTTTCATCATCCAAAATGTGGCTTCATGGAATTTCAAACACTACTAGAACTTCTGGTTAAAATACCTGGTGTGAATTCAAATCAGTATATGAAATTTGCCCTCTGGTTCATTAGTCTTATGGCTCTGGAGTTAATGTTTCCATAATCTAATGCTAAATCTTCTCCTAACACGAACGTAAGTCATGATGACTGCTTCACCTACCAGCTTGTGTCTTCTACCAACCTTCTTATATTCTTGTTTCCCAACCTACTTTAATGGTAGTTTTCTGACATTTCAAGGTTCCTTTACTTACCTTCTCTTCCTAGCTTGATAGCCTTCCCTTCATATAAAAATGGAGCATTAGGCATAAAAGATATTCAGAGCACTTTTCAGAAAACTCATTGAATTGGCTGCTGTCCTCAACTGGCTCTTCACTCAGAAATATATTGTTGGCTATTGCTAGTTGAAGTTCACATTGAAAAAATAACATGAATCCAGTATTTGGGATACTGTGTTTGCATCTGATATATCAGAATCTTAGCTTATTCTAAGTACTTTATTCCCACCTCCCTTTGAGCCACAATCCAACTAAGTATTAATTGCTTAATTTTTAATTTAGCAGGCTTTATACCCTTTAAGATAAAGTCCTGGAATTTTTAAAATCTTGCCATTCAGAGTCTGATTTGATTTTAACAAGCCGCTTTCCCATCTACTAACTTATATAAACCTCATTTCAAATTGAAAATATAATAAAAAGTATCTTTTTAAACATAAGACTTCAAATTGCTGCATGTATATGGAAATCTCTTCTGCTTTCCTCTCAGATTCTTTCTCAAACATAAGTCATGACATAAAGGTAGTATATATATCCAAAATGTCTGGCCATCTCTGTCACTCAGCTTCCAAAATATAGAATTTTCGGAAAGCCTTTACTTTAGAAAGCTTTTAGAAGTGTTGACAGCTAAATTTATATTATCCTGAAGCAAGGAAATCTAGAGAATTTTATCATATTGCTAGATGCATTTTATTAAATGGCTTCAGACTATCTATAATAAGCTCCACTTACAAACTTATATCTGTCACCCTAAAAATGATGTATGAATGGATTCCCTAGAGCAGGTATTCTCTATTTTTATATCTTAAATCCCACCAATTTTTCTATTATTGTATTGATCATTCATGGTAAATTTCAAAGTCTTACAAGTTTCATCAATTTAACCTTCCACCATCTAGTTTATCTGTACTACTGGTTGATAACCACTGTCCTAAAAAGTGTGTATTTCTTCAATCTTCAGCTTTTTAACTGACTTTAGGAAATCCAAGTAGCTTGCCATAAAATCCATTGAGAGATTATTCATTTAAATTGTAATATTTTAACAGTATTCTAAAATAATTTTAGTTATACAATAATAGTTCACTGTTTTAACATTTAAGTATGTTTTAGTAATACCATTATTGATATTAATATTTTATCTCCTACTTTTTTCTTAGTATTTAAATGTATGTAATATTTTAGCTTTTATTGTATTTGCCTTTTTATGTACCAATTTAGTAATTTATTATTTTTCTTCCTCTTAATCTCTCTTTATAGTACATAAAGAGTTTATAATCTTTGATATAAAGTTGTACAAGATGCTGTTTGCTGATCATAATGAAGGATATGTTTGGTTGTTTCTGATATTTTCTAATTAAAAATGAGAAAATAAAATTGACATGGTATTCTAATTTACTGTCCCTTAAAATGTGAATGAACACTTGCACATTACTCTTAAAACAAACATATATTTTTATTTTAAATATCCCATCAGAAGATGCAGCAAAACAAATGATAAAACTAGACAAGTTATCTTTATTATACTCACTGACCAGAGAATTAAACAGTTAACAATATAAAAAGAATAACAAAACAAAGTGCAGGAACCCACAACATAGGAAAGAAAGCAGAGACATTATCTAGAAAGAATAATAAAAATGCTTACAGTCTGAAACATTTGTAAGATGTCAACAGGAGTACATATAACATTTACTACAATACAATAAGTATAGGTAGCAGGATATTTAGAACCTAAGTGTTAAAAACAAAATTTTTATTAATTAATGAGAATACTTTAAGAGTAAAATACTAGAAATTCTATCTACTGAGTATTATACTATTAAGTGAATACACAGGGACATGAGTTTGTCAATTAGTAAGTGTGTATAAGTAAAACCTTGTGTTTGTCAGTGACAAGATAATGCAGGAGATAAGACATAGATACAATGTAAAAAATACAGACGAACAAAGTAAAATTGTACATTAATAAAATAAAAAAAAATAGTTTCCTGCATAGAGCAATGTCAGCTGACAGAAATTCTCAACTCTCTTAGTGGTGTTAGAGTTTTGGTCTGAAAGCAAGGAAAATCTGATTGACCTCAAGACAGAAGTGACTTCTGTAGGCAGATAAAAGTATAAGGGTCAAGCATAACTTACTATAGGAAGGTCATTGAAGCACCATCTGAACTAGTGTCTCAGGTTCCTCTAGAACACAAGGACAAGTTCAATCTGCAAAAGGAAGATTACTATATCTTCCCTCCAGTAATACAGAGGGCAAGACATTAAGGCGGGCT